ATAGATGCCAGCAAGGAGCATGGATGAGAGGAGCATAGATGCAAGCGAGGAGCATGAATGAGAGGAGCATAGATGCAAGCGAGGAGCATGAATGAGAGGAGCATAGATGCCAGCAAGGAGCATGGATGAGAGGAGCATAGATGCAAGCGAGGAGCATGAATGAGAGGAGCATAGATGCCAGCGAGGAGCATAAACATAAACAAGAAGCACAAACAGTAATAAAGAATGTAAACACAAACAAAGAGCACAAATGCACAAAAGTGTAAACACAAACATGGGTCCTGAATGCAAACCAGGATCATAAAACTAGGAATGCGCGCAAAACAAGAAGCATAAACACAAACAGAGAAAGCAAACAGAAAACAAGGAACGTAAACATAAAAACAAGAAGCGTACCCTACATTTAACCCTGCCGGCTCACGCGTCGCAATCGGGACAACCCCCCCTCCCCCAATGACGGATGGCAGTTCAGCCCGTCGTTACATGTCCTACCTGGCGGTGACACATCAGCGAATGCACGATGCTCATGTTGTTACATGCCCTACCTGGCGGTGACACATCAGCGAATGCACGATGCTCATGTTGTTACATGTCCTACCTGGCGGTGACACATCAGCGAATGCACGATGCTCATGTTGTTACATGTCCTACCTGGCGGTGACACATCAGCGAATGCACGATGCTCATGTTGTTACATGTCCTACCTGGCGGTGACACATCAGCGAATGCACGATGCTCATGCACGCGTCGGCCGACGTTGGCGTGCTGTTGGCGATGTTCACCATCTGGCTGTTCTGTGTCGTAATCTCCATGGTGAGCGGGGGTGGAGCCGCCAGCGTTGCGCGGGCGAGGTACGAATGCCACTAAACGTTCGCTCACTCCATTCACAACTGCCCGTGTGGATAGCTTGATGACTTTTGCTTTTTTTCTGGTCTCTACTAAAAGCCAAGTAGTAAAACCCAAAGTTAACTAGAACTTAGTCCTTACCAAATCACATGTGCACAAAGGTCCTAAACTAAACGTAAGTAGGAATGCTCCCACCCCTACGTTTTTCCTTTGTAACCAAACCAATCACATTGGATTATATTTATAACCTCCAGTAAAAAAACCACGTAGGATATTCTTTATAACAAATTCCCCGTACAGACTGCAAATTTGATCCTACATTGATCAAACTTGTCCAAGTAAGGCCTGTGCTAAATGTTTCAGTGTGTACATGCAATCCCAGGCTAAATACGCGTTTGGCTATAAGGTAATGTACTTATTAACTACACAAGGTGCCAGTTACTCTAGCATTCGTTAAAATTGCATAATCAATGGGCCTATTATGCCTGTAAAAAGCCTGATCGTTTTGCGTTTTGTGAGCCATTTTTTGTGGGACCAGTGGGCGCAGAAAAAGTGACAGGATTCAACATAGAATGTTCTATAGCCCTGCGGCAGAGCGAAGCGCTATAGTACTAGAGCTAGGGAACACCAACTCTTGTGTTGGGTTACATACATTATTGTATCCATGTTAATAAATGAGTTTTGGAAAAAGCCAGCAGCAGCCTATCTCCACTCAGAGACTACTTTTGAGCAGCACTGCCTATTTTGTGTAGATTTTACTATTATAGGATATCGTGTAGAAATCATAATGTTCAAACTCAGGACTTTGGATTTCCAGACGGGGACTTTTTAAGACTGATGACATGAACAGAGAATAGCCACAGGCACTTGGAGCATTTCAATGAAATATAATGCTAAATAAATACGAAATCAATTTACTACCAGTCTTAATGTACGTTTCTCTACTCTTTCACCTATTATTGCCGACAATTTCCTGTAAATGCTCATCTGCAACACGCTGGCTGCCGCACGCTAGCTGCTGCACACTGACACATAAATATATAGCAGGTAGGAAAGCGTGCTGATAAAATTCGCTCGACGCTTGCTTGATTTCACACGAATACAACACAAATATTCCACCATTCTACTCCATCTTTGTTTCTATTTGAAGGACAGTGTTCACTTGTTATAAAAACACTGTCTGTGTTCGTAACAGAGCTGTGTCACGCAAAATCACACAAAGCCTGACGAAATTCTCGCGTTCGCTCCCATTGCACAGTTTATGTAAATGGCTGTCGGAATCAGGAAACACCCACCGGCGCTCTTCGTGACCTAATTTTTGCACCGCATTATTGCAACGCTCCACTGGCGGCTTTGACGAGGGTCGTACGGGAGTGGGAAAGCAGCGTGGTAGTTTCCAAAAATGCAGTGCGCCGCCTATAGACCCTGTACTTGCAGCCATTTACATAAACTGCGCAACGGGAGCGAACGCGAGAATTTCGTCAGGCTGTGTGATTTCGAGTGACACAGCTTGATTACGAACACAGACGGTATGTTTTTATAACAAGTGAACACTATCCTTCACATAGAAACAAAGATGGAGTAGAATAGTGGAATATTTGTGTTGTATTCGTGTGGAATCAAGCGAGCGTCGACCGAATTTTGGCAGCACGCTTTCCTACCTGCTATATTTATTATTATTTATGTGTCAGTGTGCAGCAGCTACTGAGCTAGCGTGCGGCAGTCAGCATGTTGCAGATGAGCATTTGGACGGCATTTACAGGAAATTGTCGGCAATAATAGGTGAAAGAGAGTAGAGAAACAGTAAGACTTTGGTAGTAAATAGATTTCGTATTTATTTAGCATTATATTTTATTGAAACGCTCCAAGTGCCTGTGAGAATATAGCGGTATTCAAATAGCGACGATTATTTATGTAAACAAACATTGATCAACTTCAACTAAGTTTAACGTTATTATGAAAGCGCACCCAATTTGCCATAAACCAGCAAAAGTTTAAATATTTTCACAAAAACGGCGTCATACCAACTAAACCAGCGTTAACTTGTGTGAAGAAAACAGCGGCAGAACAACATTCCCAGAATTTTAACACGAGTGAGTCACTGGCGGCATCATGGCGCCACGGTTGTTGTGCTTAGAACAGAGGGCTTATTTTTCGCTGGTTCCCACGGTCTCCGCTAGGGTGGGCGACAATCACGACCGTGAGCAATTTTGCGGTCAGAACAACGGTTGCGTAAAATACGTTTTTTGCGTTCAAGAAATAATTAAAGAGTAAAGAGGGGTATAGTAGTTGGGAATATTTCTGGTTTCACAATGGCTATTTCGAACTGAGTCCCTGCAAACTATACCTTCGCTAGGGTAACGGTTTTTGGTGTGTTGTGTTCGGTTGGCCTGTATTCACCCAGTGCCGCTCACCCACAAGGCCCGTTACCGACCCCGGGTTCGTATCGGGACCGCGTAGGGACGGACGGAGTCACGCACTGCTGCGTAGCCACAGAAACAACTAACAATGAGTTATTCCTTGACGGGAGGCCGTACCTCCATCATTTATTCGGCCTCCTACGACCGTGTCCCTGTCCGGCGGCACGCAGGCCCCCCCCCCCACTCCACCAGCTTCCCGACTCATCACCGACGCTGGTCACCGTACTATCGCTCCGCTGTACTCTCACAGTATACACCGGCTGTCCTCCCCCTTGCCGGGGCGTGTACAGGATTTGTGTACAGGAACCGTAACCCAAACTTGCGAGCACGCGAAAGGGGGGTCTGAAAAAAATTTGAAATTAGACCCCCTTAGATGCGTTTTCTGCGCTAGCAGGGGGGGTCCGGACCCCCTGGACCCCCCCCCTGTACACGCCCCTGCCTTCGCAAACAGCGGGCACCGCCCACTGACGCCACAATCACAGTCACTACTGCTCGCTCCCTGCACAATCCCCCTTCACCTAACGGTGACACTGGCACGGTATAATGCTTCTACTCCTTCGCGTTCGGCTGCTACACAATCATTCGCTTCGCCGTTCCTCCGCCAACGCTCTCACCCAACCGCTCTCTACTAATTAACCCACACGCACACCCGCTAACTTTCGCGCCAACTTCCTAACTACAGTTCCCTTGGTTCCTACGCCCTCCGCAATCGCATAACTCATAACCCCCGCCCGGCATTCCCTGATTCCCTTATATGTTCACACGCAGTCACGTGTTATTTCATAAAAGAAAGAATAATTAACTACATTAATAAATAATAATAATAATAATATATGCATAATTGTTTAGTCAATAGTTTTTTATTTAGGTTATAGAATAGAAAAATTTCATTTTCTTTCAAATTATATAGGCAACAAAACCGTTTGTCAATGATGCTTTTTACAATAATTGTGATTTCACTTATTTTCAGGTTAATGGCAAACATGGCCAAAGTCGCACAACTTGAATGCAGTACTTATACACAGTGGTAATTTCTTTACGGTTTCCAAGCAAATTAACTACAAGGACAACTCATATCATTTCTGATGACTTGTATGGCATAATTTTATTACCTTCCAATACCTAGGCCTATATACCTATCTACCATCCTGTACCTACTATCGGAGAATATAATATACAACTGCGTATATAAATATATAATAATACTGTAAATTATATTCTACCTCTGTGTAGTACCGAGAATGGATCTACCAATATCCTGATGTCAACAGCATGCGAAGTGAGTTTTAAGACTTGACAACTTGCTGAGTGTAGTGCTGGTGGTAGCGCCATGAGCGAGCGCGCGTGCGTGTGCGTGCGCGTGTGTGGGCGCGCGCGCGTGTGTATTCAATTTCATTGTGCTGGCATGGACACTTGTACGCTACATGTGTATACGTATCAAGAGAGGATCCCACTTATAATAATCAACTCTACAAATACAAGTATTATCCTCTTCTATATAAGTATAGTACAGTAGCGTGTTCGTGGTACTATATAGGAACGTATATCAGCGATTTCAACTGCAGTGACTGTGCGAGGACATCTAACGCAATTCCTGCACGCCGCGGCAACGCTAAAACACACGACAGTTCTCAATAACACGCGATCGAATCTTCCACTGTTTAATCTATGGACGTCTTAAAGACATAATATCACGAGTGGGCAATAGATATAGCTAGAGTACCTCCATAAAGATGGAGGTACCATAAAGATAGAGGTACCATAAAGATGGAGGTACTAACTACTCTTTATGGAGGTACTCTAGATATAGCCACTATATTAATACTATCATAAACATACATCATGAAAATATATATGTAAACATGTGTTCACGATACTACGTGTGATTGCTATACAGATATCAAGAGCTAATAACGCATTATACAGGTATATTATACACTATACAGGTATTATTAGCTCTTGATCATATCTATATACACGATCTAGGCACATGGGTGCGTACACGGTCGCGCACATACACGCATACACACACGTGCACGCGTGTATATACAGAGAAATTATAACACAGAATTACAGACGTGGGTATCACAGGGTCGTCCCATGAGCACGACATGATGTCAACATATTAGCGAAATCAGAATTACAACGTGTTATCCTTGTATGCGGATATATTAACCAAAGGTAAAATATCAATATCGACGTAACCCGCTGTGTATTTTACTGGCACACCTTCTTTTGATTTCCCTCCCACTGAACGGTCGTCACACGTCGCCGCGCGCCACGTACGCACGGCAATGACGGCCACTAATAACACGTACGTAAGGTTACGTTTCCGTACGCGAATAAATTACACGATCACCACGAGTGATATACGTACAGTCGAACCGATGAACTATGCAACTCAGACGTCGCTACGCAACCCCCGCAACAGATGTAGTATATATATATATATAGTATATATATATATATATATATATATATATATATATATAGTATATATATAGATAGATAGATCATTGGTATAACTACTGGCTCTACATCGCAGCGGCTTCACCCACGCAGCACTTTCCTTATTCGACCGCAGGCGGGTCGGAGAACTACCTAGGTCGACGTTAGACTCGAAAAAGATCACGGACATATATATCCATAACACGCACACGAGTATAGATATGTTCGCAGTAAGAGGGTGTAGCATAGAATCACGACATGCTTGCCACGCGCATTTGACACTGTGTTCGCGATGCAAATACTTTACAAACTGTGGCGCGGTCGCTCGTTACATAGAAAAAAAAGCTATACTCCACGCGCACAAAATATAGACAGCACAAGAATCACACGCGCGCAACAATGATAAAAGCTCAACGAGTCTCGCTCGGTATCTGTAAACACTAATTACATTAGGAAAATAAACAACGAGTTCTCGAATGTAGTACGACAGGTGATCACGCACGATCATACATTTTCGCGCGCTGGAAAAAATCACAACAAATGACGCAGACTGCAAAATTATAGCGAATACGTTGCGATACCGTATAAAACAACACAAGATTAATATATATTTCATACTCGCGCGAATTAAATTATGAGTAACGATAAAGTTACTATGTCACGTAATCAAAACTCACGTGCAACATATTACAAATAGATAAAACTAGTTCCATCTATTTTCGACCACATAGATATCACTACGTCACAAAAAACGTCATAACATTCCGAAACTGACTGATAATTCAAGATTAAACATTCCTTATAAAGAACTCAAAGACGTTCGCCAATCAATCACCATTGAATACAAAAGTGTTAAAAATCAATTAAGGCAATACACTCGGTAGAAAATATATTTCATAAATATAATAAGTAGGCTCTGCATGCAAACATGTAGAAAATATCCTGCTGTTAGTCTAAGTATGCGTTCTAGTCTGGTCAAACTCACATGGAGGCATTTCGTTGTGGTAGCACCTTTTCGTGGATATAGATTAAAGGTTCAGAAATTTTACCAAAGACAATCGCTCCAACATTCCCATGTGCAATTACTGCGCGACCCCACGCGACGATAAACCAAAATGGGCAACATCTCCTTCATTACCGCTCCTTTTTCGTAATCGCATGCGTGTACTCCCTCCCTTAACATGAGCCTGGCGGCAACTGCTGCGAGGATGAACGTCTGAATCTCAGACGTCGTTTTTCCGAGACCGAACTAAGACTCGTTGTAGAGAAGCGCTACTTCCGCGATGACTCCGCAGTTTTACCGCCGAGACCGGTTCGTGAATCATCCATCAACAGTCGATCCTCGACAAAACCACCTATACGCGATGACTCGACATTTCTTCGTGATCAGACTAATAATGTCAGCTGGACTTTTTTTCCGCATGGAAACAGCGACGCGATGACTCGTCATTTCTACGCAACTCTAGATTAAATATGTCAGCCCACCTCTCTCTCTCTCTCTTCGTGCAACCACCGACGCGACTGTACGTTACAACTGGAACGTCAGAACGAGTTAAAGCACCGCGCTTAACCATTCTTCCTTCTGAAACTACTCGGCCTTTCTTCTGAGTCTGTTCGAACAATCATCCTCAAGCCAGCTTCCTTCTGAAACCACTCGGTCTCAGACCTTTTCCGCCCTCATGACCAATTTCAAGACTCAGGACTTTCTTTTACTCTTCTCTTCCAAGAAAACATTCGGCATTTTTTCCCGATGGCCGTTTGAGAATCGCTCCGGCGACCCGACCACTCAGCGATCCTTCACCGCCGGATTAACATCCACCCCGTCCATCTTCTTAGTCGGCAAAGCCGTTGTCATCGTCGTCGTCGTAGCGGCGACTGCACCGCTGATCGCTGCCACCAGGGGCTTTGGCATCGAGCTGTCGGCGCGTGCCGCACGATCGTCTGCCCCGCCCGCGGCCCCGCCTGCCGCCGCGTCGTCACGCATCAGCTCCAGACTCGGCAGGCTGTCGTCGCTCGACTCCGCTCCCTCGTTCCTGGCCTCCTCCGCATTCCGACCCACCTCCGACCCGGGGCTCGCGTCCACACTCCGGCTTCCGTCGGAATTCCGACTTGCGTACAAAATGCGCCGCGAGGCGGCGCGCGTCCGCGGTTGCCGCGACGACGACGATGCCGCGGGCGGGTGCAGCCGCCCGTGCTCGCCGAGCGATCGCGCGAGGCAGAACGCGACGCCGCACACGTCGCAGCGGTGCGGCCGGTACG